ATAGAATATGAGATGCATAGCCTCAGTTAATATTAGCATTGTTATATAGGTTAGAATTTATATAGTGTGATTTGCCTAACTATTTTCTCATAGCTAAATCCATGTGTTATCCTATGCTGCCATCTAGTGGCCTTTTGTTGTAACAAACATGCTTTCTGTAATTATTCCTCATGTGACTATGTATTTCCCCCTAGTGTACGCCCCTTCCTGCTTCCTGTGTGTAGTACTTCCTGTGTCATGGCACAGCTACTAGCCACATGTAACAAGGACACACATATAATCTGCACAGTACGGAGGAAAGGCATCATTTTCTGACCGCACAATACTATCACCATTCATCTGCTGTTCCTATCATCTGCTGTAAAGAATAAACACCTCTTTTGAATGAATCGGTATTGACGAGTTCAGCTATCTGACGAGGATTGTCCGCAGTGAGTATATCTGCTTATACAGGCCAGGCATAGAGGTCTCAGCAAGGGATATATTTCGCTATCACTACGATCGGAGTCAGAATACCAAGTGTGAACCCAGCTTAAGAATGGGTAAGAGAACTGTGTCATATTAGCATACAGGTTAGCTTTGAGAACTGGTGATATAGTGATGACAGAGCTTAAAGTGCATTTCCACTTTTGCAGTCAAATCTGAGAACCACACTTTATGCTTGTTATGTGTTCCCATTCACACAGCATACTGTATGTAAAAAAAAATTACATATATTTCTTACCCTTTAGTTGTATGTTTGAAACAGGATTATATATAAACCCTATGGGCAGCTTCTATTGCTTTCAAGAAATGGCAGTGTAGAGATAAGGGACAGACTGAAATATAAACTCAGAGAGACATACATTAACATGCAGTATGTCCTGAGATCTTTAACACTTTGTTAGGACAGACAGTCCTGCAGATCTAGTTAACAACTGATAATAAAATCGGCCAGCACAGTAGAGCGAGGATTAATTGGCAAAACATATCCTCAGCCCCCTAATAAACATTACATAGCAAGCAAGTACTAAAAAGAATTTTCTGTTTTGGAGTTTTCAGAAAGAGCATTTATAAGGCTAATCAGCAATTGTATCAAATATAAAGTAGGTGTTATCCTAATTTGGCTGCAAAAACGGAAATTCATACTTCATGTAGTATAAGATTGTAACGATAAGGCTTCATGGGTTATTTATACATTCTCAGTTCCAACCATTCACACTGGTGATATCTGACTATCAACCATGAGACTGCTCCTTGTTTTGCCTTTCCTTGCACTTCACCTGCTCTGCACTCAGGGTAAGAACTTTTTAATTTCTGGATAATGTGATTGTTTGCCGGGAAATGAACATCACTTGTTCTGCTGTATTCTGAATAATGTCATTTTAGCTCTATTGCTCCCAACTGTGCCTCATTTCAAACCAAATCGCTCTCTCCCTCTTCTCTCCTTAGTTGTCCCTCTTTTTGGTCTGAAGTATAGACCTCTAAAAAATTTAATATTTAGCAATCAAAAGTGTTTTTCTACACTGGGGCTGGATTAATGCCAAGACATTTTCCCCTAATGTGATTTCCATTGAAAATATTCGGGAGTGCATACAAACATGTCAACGCACGAACATGTCATGCGCATCATGGCCAGTGTATGTGTGTTATGATGACCCGTCATAACACGAGCACAAATACAAAGCAAAAGCACAAGGAAAAATGCAAAGACATAAATCCAACTAAACCTTTTATTCAACCTGTATGATTACATTTGTTATTCTGTGTGTCATTTGCCTACATATTTGTGTTAAAAGTTGTCACTCTTTCCCGTCTCAGAAAGTTGGGGTTGTACCTAGTTCTATTTATATCATTGCATAATATTTACATCAGTCTTTCTCAAACGTTTTACCCCAGGGGAACTCTTGAAATATTTTATAGGTCTCAGGTAACCCCTGCTAAAATTAAATATACCTAAAGTTGACTGTATATTAGCATGATCATTAATTCTAGAATGCTTAAGGACCCATTTACATTCTTACAGTGATTGTATATGCATTATGAAATCAATGGACTGCCAATGCACCAAATGTCCCGAAAATTAAAAGTGCCATAAAATTCGGAACAAAATGCACTATGGTGAATTGCTCTGTATTGTGGCACATTGCACTGCACATGCGTTGGGGTGCCATTCAAAATGACAGGCACTACAACACATGCAAGGTGCATTAACATATGTTATGGTAGCATGTACATTACTGCAACTAATAGATGTAAATGGGCCCCAATATATGAATAAATAATATAACATACCCAACATATTTGGTACCCTGGGAAGATACTTTTTTACACCCTCCTGCTCTGTTCAGCAACATTTTTAGTAATTGCCTTGTAATAAATTAATTATAACAGAAAATAAATGCATACAGTGAAAATTGTGGTATACCCTAACATTAGTGGTCAGTGTAGATGTGCCCCCTTATATTGGTGGTCAGTGTAGAAGTGCCCCCTTGTATCGGTGGTCAGTGTAGAAGTGCCCCTTTGTAATGGTGGTCAGTGTAGAAGTGCCCCCTTGTATTAGTGGTCAGTGTAGAAGTGCCCCTTTGTATTGGTGGTCAGTGTAGAAGTGCCCCCTTTGTATTAGTGGTCAGTGCAGAAGTGCCACCTGGTATTGGTGGTTACATAATCTCACACACATACATACACACTGCCCAAAAAATTATTTTTGTTCTTTTTTTAAGATCCACCCAGTCTCCCTACATTATAAGAACTGGAGTGGATCCTTAGCCTGGGGTCCGGTGTGGGCTGTTGTGCTGTGCTGTAGCTCCATCCATATGTGCATTGCTTGTACAGCTCCCTTGCACTCCCTGTACAGGTGCTGAGAGCCAGAATGTTACATCACACCGGTCCAGGCTCCTCTACAGGACATGAGAGGGAGCTGTAAGCAATGCACATATGGATGGAGCCCACCCCACCTCAAGCTGACACTCGGTGCTGGGCAGCATATTTTGAATGGCTGCTTGGCGCAAGAACTGACACTGCTGTGCTAGGGGGAGACTGAGGAGCCTCTCAACTAGAAAAGTGGAAGGGACACGGGGACCCACTGAACACAGGGTCGCAACCCACTTTTGAGTCTTGACCCACCAGTGCTAGGTTTAAAAAAAAAATTTATATAAATGAAAAAAGACAAAAAAATTTGAGAAAAAATTATATTTTCTACTTTTTGTAATACAAAATTTAAAAAAAAATCAAATGTCTTCCTAAAGTTAGGCCAAAATGTATTCTGCTAAATGTTTTTGGTAAAAAAAAAAAAAAAATCCCAATAAGTGTATACTAAGCGGTTTGCGTGAATTGGTACCAACGATACGTTTTTTTAAAACATGGTTTTTATCCATATGGTGTCAAACAATAAAGTCAGTATTGCTCGGGGTAAAGGATTGGTTTAGGAATGATATGGCTGGTATACAGTATATTTTTTCAAACCTTGGTGTGCCTGCTAGATAAAGTCTTATAATATGAGGAAGCTGAACCCTTCCCCATGAAACAAAATCATCTACGTCCCTGGCTGATTTACGTTGTTTTTGATCAGTTTTCATGTACTCAACTCTTCTACGATTTTTGACTTGGACCTGAACTAGGGTTGCCACCTTTTCTTCAAGCGAAACCCGAACACTCTAGCAACGCACGGACATTTTTTTGGGAGAATGAGTCGTAGCTTATTCATATGTAAATAGCATCACCCATTCATAAGTAAATATCACAGTTGAGACTATTTTCAGTGCGGGGCCAGTAGCCCCTATTTTAATTTTGGTTGCCCCCTGTTTGCCTGACATTTTGTGTCCGGGTCTCTGCTGCCATGAAACCCGGACACAGCATTCAAAACCCGGACTGTCCAGGTGAATCCTGGACAGGTGGCAACCCTAACCTGAACTCAATGATGATGTAGCATGTTTTCAAGTTTGGGTTACTCCCTGAGCAGAGAGAACCTCTTTGAGCCCGCTCTTATAAGGATATATCAGGTTTGAATCTTTGTTATCACCTTACGTCATCCAACATCATTGCAGAAGACTGCCAGGAAGTTGCCTCGACTTTGCGTTCACGACACTCTTCTTCGTACAGTCACTGCAGATCATTATTCAGCAACGCAGTGATGTTTGTATTTTATTTTAGCATTAAAGTGAATTTTCAGGCAATATAATATTTACTTTTTTTAAATGAGAAAAAGTTAAAACCTAGGTCAATTTGTATTGCTGTTATCCTTGTGAGAAGAGTTTGCCTCACTTCCTGTCCTTTACATGTGTTTCTTGGACAGGAAGTAAGAGGAAATGTAAACACAACAGGGACACAGAGAGAAATAAAAACTAGGCAACAAGTTTCCAAAAAGTGAGTCAATCAACAATATGTGGATTCAGACAAACTTGGGATAATCATAGGTCCATCCTGAAAAAAAGGGCAGAAATGGTCAGACTTGATGGATCACTTTGTATATATTTTATTGCCACCAGTCTTCTATGTTTCTAACCTTTCCCGATTCTGCTAAAAATTGCTTTCTGTTCTGTTCAGGTCTGCTCCTCACTTGTGATTATAGTGATACAACAGTAGGGACGTGCAGTCAGGGGAGACAGAGCCGCAATTAGTATTATGGAGGAACAAGTTGTCAGCTTCAAGTCTGAAGCTGACAGCTTTTTCTCAATTCAGATTGGCTTGTTACAGGTTACACAGAAGGGAAAGCCTCCCCTCTGTGTAACTTGTCATGGACGGAGCTCTGCCTGTTAATTACAGGCAGCACTGAATCTGGCTCTTGACAGGTAGTTAGGTTACACAGCAGCAGGCTTCCCCACTGCTTGTGTAACCTAACTTAGTGAGGCAAGAGCTGTCACAGCCTCTACTCTGTGTTAGAGGCGTGAGCTCTGTGGATGGTTTGGACCAATGGCAAAGCGCCATTGGTCCAAGCTGTCCAACCAAAAAAAAAAGCACTGAGGCCATCGATCTCGATGCCTCTGCAGTGACAAGCAGGTGAGGGATAGGGAGGCTCCTGCCTGTCTCCTCCTTCACACTAGCCGGTGGGGGTGGGGCTTTGATGGGATATGGGTGGGGCTTCGGCGTGCTGGGGGTGGGGATGCTGATGGCGGGCCTGGGGAATGCCTCACCCAGGCATCCCTCCTGTCGCACTCTGCAACAGGAAGAAGAGTGCAATGCTTCATCAACAACGATACAGGCATTATGAAATACCGAACTGAGCTTTCAACACTTTTCTGCTGTATCCAAAAAATAGAAAGTTTGTCTGACACAGACTCTGAAAGCAGAAAAGTTATGTCATACAATAAAGGGATTTACATGTTCGAACGTGCTTTTGTTTGTAGCAAATATTAGGAGATCTACTGATTTTCCTTCTACTGCCGTATTTCTAATGTAGGGTTTTTGTGCTGGACATCCTGTTTTTGTTCTTGGTGTCTGAAATCAGGACGCATTAATGGTGCATCTAACTGTAGTAATGCACATTTAACGAGATAACATCTGTCACACCCTCAGTCATCAAATATAAACCTCTTCAGCTCTTGCAGCTGTTTATTCCATATAAACCAGAGCCATTTACACCTTTTATATTGTCCTATTGATTTCATTTCATGATTCACTATATCTGTGAGGTTTGTGGTTACTAGCTGTGACTGGCTGTGCTAGCTTTTTTTGTTGAAATTAGGGATGCACCGAAATTTCGGCCGCCAAAACATATCGGCTGAAAATGGCACTTTGGACAAAACGCCCAAAGTGCTATCTTTCGGCCAAAATTGCGGTGCATCTATGGTTTCTCTCCTCCCCTTCAGCGCACTGCTCTGTGTCCCCTCTGACCAGCGGGGAGAAGAGAAACTGTCGGGAGGCCGAGCGGGTCGGGGAGGAGAGAGCTGTGATCTACAATCTACATCAATTCCTATTCATTCATGATTGTGGACATAGTAAACATACTATCTCAACAATTTAAGAATGGGCAGGAGCACTCAGTATAGAGGATTCCTGTTCGTTCATAACAGGGGCTGCAGAAAGAGAGATTGAGGACTCTTAGAAGGGAAATATCAGAGGTCTGGTTAGTCCCCAGCAGTAAAGTAAAAAATATGTATATATTTAATACAAATATATATATATATATATTAAAAAAATTAAAAAGTTTAGAAAAATAATTTTCAGTTTTCTGCCTGACATTTTTTTTATTTTCGGTTTCAGTCTCAAAATTTAATTTTGGTGCACCTCTAGTTGAAATATGTTCAAAGAAATCACTGCTGGACTATAATGTGTGGGGGAAAGGAGGGCTATAAAAGGAC